TGAAATTTTCAAAAATAGACCTTTCTGAAGCGTTACAACAAATTCAATTAGATGATAACTCAAAAGAATTGGTAACCATTTCTACCCATCAAGGGCTATTCTCTTATTACCTTTGGCATCCATTGTGCGCCCTTCATTTTTCAAATTATTATGGAGCAATTGTTTAATATTCCTGGTGTAATATCGTTCCTCGATGATATTTTAATAACGGGGAAAAATTACCTTGCGAGCACCTGGAAAGACTAGAAAAAGTTTTTCAAAAATTTTCAGAATGTGGACTTAAAGTTAAAAAAGAAAAATGTCGTTTTTTGCAGGATTGTTTGACATACATGGGACATAAAAATTGATAAATTTGATTCGGATAAAACTGACGAGAGGGTTGAAGCCGTAGTAAAAACGAAAAAACCCTCAAATATTACGGAACTAAAATATTTTCTTAGAAGGAGTGAACTATTATGTCAAATTTTTGCTGAACGCGTCTACTATATTATATCCCTTATAAAATTTGTTAAAAAAGGGTATTTCCTGGAAATGGACCCATGAATGTCAGAACAGTTTTGAAAAAATTTAAGAATTGGTAATGTCTCCAGCTGTGCTAGCTCATTTTGACCCCAAATTACTAATCAAACTATTGGTTTATGCTAGCATCACTCATTCGGACGGCTCTGAGAGGCCTATTGCGTTTGCATCAGGACTACTTAATAAAAGCGAACTCTCTTTTTCCCAAATAGAAAAAGAAGCATTAGCTATTATTTTCGGTGTTAAAATGTTTTATCAATATTTATATGGCGCTAAATTCACATTGTGCACCGATCATAAGCCGCTGTTAACCATTTTTGGTGACAAAAAGGGATTACCTATGTATGCTGCCAACCTTCTTCAAAGGTGGGCGTACAATTTATCCTCATTCAATTTTGAAATTAAAAAATGTAAATACAAAGCAAAACAATTCCGATTTTTTATCACGTAGGGGGTAGCATCAAAAACGTTTTTTATCATTCAAGTAACTCACTGTTGTTTGCTTCCAGTAAAATGGATCAAATTTCTGATCTAAATCATATTCAGAATTCTGAATTTCCAGTTAATTTTTCAGAAATTAAAGAATAAACCGAAAAAGATCAAATTTTAGGCATGTTCGGAACGGTTGGCCAAACACTTCATGTCAGCTGAGTTCCAGGAAATCCTTAGAAGCCTAGGTATTATACATAAAACTGGTGCACCTTATCACCCTGAGACTAATGAGTTAGCCGAATCAGGGGTGAAAATTTGTAAAGCAGCCTTGCGCAAAAGTTATAAAGATGGAAATAAGGACCTTCAAATTATGTTAGACACATTTCTTTTTCAATACCGCAATACGCCTCACACTACAACGCTAGAATGTCCATCTAAGATACTTTTTGGTCGTTCCTTACGCACAAGGTTCAATTTATTGTTGCCTTCTACTGCTAACGTAATTAAAAATAAACAGAATAAATTGGAAAAAAAAATAGAAAGAGCAACGATGTTTCATTCTCGATAGGCGGAAGAGTTTGGACTCGTGAATATCGCTCCAATTTAGATAGGAGCAAATGGTGTCAAGGGGTAGTTCGCCATGTTCTTGGCCGAAGAATGTGTTTAATTGAGGTAGATGGTGGAAGTACTTGGAAAAGACATGTTGCTCAGTTGAAAAAGAACCATTCTTGTAAAGAAAACAACACACCTATTTTTCCACGATCTAATCTCACCACAATAAATTCCAAAATGGAAGACAATATTATTTCTATATCAGATTCAATTAGTCCGGGAGCGGAGATCGCAAATTCGGTTCTTTTAGACAACGCCGACGCTATAGGTTCCAGTGAACGTATGTTACGTAGGCGTAGCAAAATTAAGATTCCGGACCGTTTACAAGTGTCTTAGGTTTAGTTAGGGTAAGTTAGTTCAAGGATAGGTTTATACAGACAGGGCGCCTCGGTCAATAGTAGCCAAACCGTTGAACTTATGGAAAAATGTTCTGTATAATAGTTTTAACATTTCACAGGGTATCTCAAAAAAGAGTAATCACAACTTTTATGTTTTTGGGTTGAATGCAGCGTTGCCAAGCTATGATTTTTCGAAGAAAAAAATAGACCAAAACATACTTTTTTAAAATTGTCATATCTCCGCCACTGTACATTAATTTCCATTAAAAATTTACATGTAATCTAATGTTAGCCTATAGTTGCTCCTACATTATCTTCATTTTTCGATTAAAGTATACAAGGTCTCCAAAATATTTGTCTAAACACGTCAATTTTAAAGTCCATTTTAATTGAGTTTTTCAAATACAACACCCCGTATATTATTTTTCTATCGAAAAGCTGAAAATGTACTCTTTCAGAAAATATCATATTTCCCGTACCTATGTATCTCATTAATATTTTGGGATATTAAGATTTTCCCTTAACTTAGCACAAAAAACGGTGAAAAGTAAAGTAATTTGGTAGTTTCACCTGGAAAGTTTTTCGAGAGTTTTGAAAACTTTATAGGTTTAGATGTGTTCTTTCTGAATGTCTACTTTGTTACCTAGTATTTTTGCCGCTCGCGCCGCAATATTGAAAAATTTCGCCAAAAAAACAGGTTTTTCACAATATCTCCTTTCCTTCTCATCAGCATAAAAATATAGTTATGTAAAATCTAAATTAAACTAGAGAAAATTTTCTCATAATTACCCTTTTTATTCTGTAAAATGAATAGTTTCAGCGTACAAGTGCGACAAACCATCATACAGCTACACCAATTCGTGTTTGTCGTATAATATCGTATATTTCACCACGTATTTGAAAACCGGCTTACTAGGGTCTGTTCTTCCTTCGCAGGTATAAAGGAATACACCGCCATGGCGTGGAGCCTCCCTCTATTCCTTCTATAAGCCATCTGCTGGCGAAGTTCAAGTATTTTGTTCGAATCATCAGTAATAATTTCGAAGGAAGTAAACTGTTTTATTTGTGAAGATCCATTGCAAGAAAATGAAGTGAAGGATTATCTGATTATCTTGTCTTTTCGTAAGTCAGGTGCTCAAAAAAAAAAAGGACAACAAAGCTAAGATCTTGGACAGACTAATATTGATAGTGGTTCAAGATGTATGTCGAAAACGATATAATAACGAGAAATCAATTGCTGTATCTTAACGTATATCAAGCGCCATTTCTCATCCATAACTGCGACACAGATCACCTAATACAGATGCCGTCGACGATATTCTGTGACGAAGCCGGGGAGCCAGCGCCTTGACGCATATATACAGATCGCCCGCGTCAGGACAATTAACGTGGCCGGGTGCGTGAGCATGTTCCAGCCTGTGGGTTTACATATTTTTGCGGGTAAAAAAGAATATTTTTTTGCTGTTTGTGAACCAATTAAAGAAATAATATTATATTATTGAGCTTCCGCATTTATATAATAAATATGTTCAAAATACATTGATGCGGCATTGGTGCGGCCAGCCTATGTCTATAAAATTAAACTTGAACCATGAATTCGCCGCTCTTTCGCATCTGTATGTAAGTAATCTGTGACTGCGATTCACGTATCCAACATTCTCATTCAGAGATCAGTGTTTTTTTTGGGCGCTGCTGAGATATCAGCAGTTACTGACGGAAGCCTAGTACTACCAGAACAAATCGACAACGAAGCTGTTAATCCCATCGAAGATGATGCGGAAGAAACTATCTGTAACGATTCGATCAGTTCTGAAGACGATATCGATAAACCCGCAACACCTAGTCCATCAAGAATAGCGAAGCGATGGAGAATGCGCTGAATATTGTAATAATCCATTGCATTAGGCCTACTGGGGATACACGATAAAAAAAAAACCGCGCCACTTACTCTACCTCATGGTGGCGTGAAAATTAGTTTTTTGGCCAAAACGCGTGTTAAGTCGACTTTGCAGCACGCGTACGCTAAAACTAGGTATTCATTTTTACTTTTCTCGGTGAAGGGAAGTATTTGTATTCACGTGAAAAATCGACCTCGAGATTCTTTCACATTTATACGTTTTCAGGTCCCTAGATTACGAAAATCATGTTTTCTCAATTCCGTCGGTCTGTCGGCGCTCTACAGACCGACAGATAGACATGTCGGTGTGTTGGCGCTCCAGCTCAATAACGGCTCAACCTAGAACAAAGCTTTGATATACACTTTGAACCCCTACCGGTGGCGCTAATGTAAGGGTTTTTGTTCGCAGATACGGGGTATTTGTATTGTATTTGAAAAACTCAAATAAAATGGACTTTAAAATTCACGTGTTTAGACAAATATTTTGGACACCCTGTATACTTAAATCGAAAAATTAAGATAATGTAGGAGGCACTAGGCTAACATTAGATTACATGTATATTTTTAAGAGAAATTAATGTACAGTGGCACTAGTGGCGGAGCTATGACAATTTTAAAAAAGTAAGTTTTGGTCAATTTTTTTTCTTCGAAAAATCATAACTTGGCGACGCTGCATTCAACCCAAATACGATTTTAAAGTTGAATACAGAGCACATAGAGGCTTCATTTGCCACATAAAAACATACGGTATTCCATTATCAAAAAAAAAAAAATTGTGATAACTCTTTTTTGAGACCCTATATACTTGAAAATAATTTTGGTTGTTTGGTTTGTCAACCAATCGGTAATAAATTACGTTGAATGCATTGTTCATCTGTCAATATAACCGACTGGTTAATCGCCTTTAATTGAACTATACATTCGCTTCTAAATGATATTTGGAGTATTTATTTCAAAGTAAATATTTATCATTGCTCGTAATCTGTTTTAGGTTGAACATTGAAGCATACCTACATTATGGATGACATATGTCCATTTGCGAAACTTTCGCTGAAAAAATAATTTTAAAAGCTTATGCAAATCGTTCTATTGGCTGAGATATGACAAAACATCAAGGGTTGAAGCATAAATGAGGCGCTTAACTTTTCATGAAACCAAAGTGTGAATACAAGAAAAGTTACATTATTTTTTTTTATCTATAGATTACAGAAAGAACGAGCAGAAAAAGAGAGGCTGGAGGGCCAGTCAGCGGTTGCCCCCCAAAGGTCACAATCTCTCGGGGGCTCTTCCAACTCCATCGGCACAAATAGCAACAGGTATTCAAATTGAATTATTCCATGTCTCCATTAATTCGGTTGTTTTCTCAATTTTTTTTGTCAGGTTAAATAGTACAGAGCAGCAAGACGATCGACGGTCAAGCGAAAATGAAAAACGCAAGTACTGAAAAGTTTTAAGTTTCAATTATTGTTTTGAAAGATGTCTATAGAATCGTTACTATGATATAATATTTTGTATATAATTCGATATTATAATATATCCATTGTATTTTTTTTATATATATCAAGAGCCAATGGATATACCTACCTAGATAGCTATATCTTGAAAAAAGCATTTTTTTCTTTCTTTGTTGAACCAAGGCTCTTGACCATAAAAAAGTTAATTATGGATTTTTGGCTGTTATTTCAAATATTTTAAAATCTGCATTCAACTAATGTAATGCAAGGATCGACAAAAAAGTGAGATTGTATTAGAAAAAAAATCGAAGTACGAACTCTTTAAAAATAGAAACTTATATTTCTGACCGATTTGAACTATATTTATTAATTGAGCTGTGATTGTAGTAATGAGTACACTTTTTCAGACAAAACACACACTCGACCGTGTTCAACTTTTTTGAATGCGGCTTTTGACATTTTTATTAGAGAAATGAAATTATTGAGTGTTTCTAATTTATTTTTTACTCATATCGTTTTGAAATAATATTTATCAAGTTTCTTCCCATTCTCTCTATATATCTAGCATCCGTAGTTCCGTATCTTTCTTGACTCTTATTCAGACCCAAACAATACTTTCATCCGTTTGAAATTTTATACCTAATGAAAATATATTAGAAATACAAAATTATTTACAAAAATTAAAATTTATGATACGATTGAAAAAGTGTTTTGTTGTTATAGTCAAATGTTTCTAGTCGTAGTATCAACTAAGTTTGTTAATTTCTCTTTGTATGTTATTTATAACTGTAAATGTTACTTAAGAAATTTTATATTTCTAACTTGACTTATTTCGAACTATTTTTCACTGCCACGGTTAGGTACTTAAAAAAAAAAATTACGTATGTGATTTATTTATTTGATTTCCCTTTGTGTGTCTTAAGTAATACAAACTACATAGAAACGAATCTGTTAAATTTTTATGGAGGTATGTTTAACATAAAATTTAATAAAAAATAAAGTATATTGCCGTCCTGTATCCACCACATATAGTTAAATCTATACCTAAATATTTAAAAAAGTATAGCTACAAAAACCAATATATCAGACTATTTATGTTATAATATTATGGATGTTAAACATATTTCTTAAAATTAGTTGCGATAAATATATTCTACTTACTAGGTACTTAATAAAACTTCGCTCATACATATCACTATAGTGTATAATGATAAGTAAAGTAATATTTTCGACTTTGAACCCCTTAAAAACGGTATGAAGTACCTAGTCCAAATATGTTAGGTGATATACAAACCCTTCTACGCTTCTATTATTGGAGTTTCATATTTCAATATATTCAACAAAATTAAAAAACTAGAAATATGGGCTTTAAAAGTTTTATTTTGTTAATAAGAACAGATGTAAAATCACCTGGTGCCATATCTATTCTCCTGTTTTTTATTAAAAATTCTGTAGGTTTCATATAATGTTCATGGAGCCAGAAGGCTTCAGGCACAATAATTGCAATATTTCCAAATGTTATTAAAATTGGTAGGTATTTTTCAAGCTATTTTGCATTTGTAGATGCTTATGAAATATTCTACATTCAAAAGTTTCCAATTTTAACATGGTTTTAGATATCGTCAAAATTTAGAACCCATGGCCTGAAATTTTGTATGAATGTCGTTTGAAACCTTGCAAATTTCTGGAGTCAAAGTTTTAGAAAATTGTAGAAATAACCTAAATATACCTATTTCAGAAAAAAAACTTCAACTCGATTTTGAACATATTTGGACTATACTTCAGAAAAAAAAATGTGTACATATTGTAAAGGAAGTAAACGGATTCGTTGGTGCTCAATATATTAATGCACAAAAAAAAACAAATGAATGGCAAATTATCTTTTTCCATGAGGCAAGTTTTGTCAATTATTATGTGAAAATTAGTCGAGGGAAGAATTATTTTTATCATTGAGAGTATTTCGGATAACCTCCATGTGCTGCAATTTTTATTTCTAATCTCGTTTTCGATGTAGATTGTCCAAAATGCTTTCGCAAATCCACATAAAAACGAGTACCTGCTGGCAGGATAATGTTGAAGACGAGCACTATAAAAAAATAACCCTCCTTTGTATAAAGCTGTTGTTCAGTTTGAGAGATTTTATTCTTAAAAAAAATTATTATAAAAATGAAAAAATCACGTTCTATTTAACTATAATATTAGTACTTAATCCCTTTATGTACATTTTAAATGTTGATATACATTATTATACATAATTAAACAATATTGCTATAACATTATTTAAATGAAAAACAAATAACTTGTAGGTACTTCTCTTTTCTAAGCGAGTACAAATTTCGTAGGTTAAAACCGTTTCAATTTCTAGATAGGCAAATTTATAATTAAATATTAGATAAAAAGAAGTTTTAAATCAAAATAATTGTTCATTATTGAAAGAAAATCTACATGATATCAAAATTCTGGTACCTATCAGTCATGATGAGTCGAAAAACAAATGGATTTTTGCCCATTTGTGGAGATTAGGCGAACAAAAATTGTTAACTATGTATTTATTTAAACAAATGCTCTCCACTTGAATAAATTAAAAATGGAAAAAGAATTAAAAACCATTCTGGTAAGTATTGAACAAAGTTGGAAGTTATTTTCGAAAAACACAAGTCTTTGATCAAAGCTCCAAGCACACTATTAATACTATGAGTTGTACTTGCGCTGAACCTATCAGATTCACGCAATACGCATGGCAGGTAGGCGTGGAATTATCAGTTGTTGGGTACTGGCCCTAATTGCAGACCGGTTTCGAGCTTGTTAGCTCTCGGCAGTGCAACATAACATGGGCGAAAGCACGTCAACTCAGAGAAACCGGTTTAAAAGAGATTCACACGATAAGAAAGATATAGAGATTTAATAGCGTGTGGCTTCCCCTTTTAGTCTTACAAAGGAAAAACCAAAAATAACCCGTTTGGGCCATGGTAAGTTCAACTATATCTCAGCTTCACTCTAGTTTGGATGAGAAAAGATAATTTTTGGCAATGCGTGCAGGAACCTTCCCATTTAAGAAACAGCTCGAACTCTACTTCTAGGCCTCTCTGTTAAGGGCTGTCTGTATATCCAGTTCTTTCCTTCTATTCCCTTGATGTCGCCTCATCGCCATCTTTTCTAGAGGTCTCCCAACACAACACTTCTCTTGTTCTTTCTTGTTCGTCATGCTAGGAGTTTTTTTGTGTTTCTGGTTTTTTCCTGCAATGCTATATGGCCTACCTATCGCCACTTTAACTTCAAAGTTCTTCTGATGTCTTATGTCTTCATTTGGCGCTCGATTTCCCAGATTAATTCTGAGCATGGCACTTGGAGAAAGGTGTAGAGATTTGCTAGCGCCATATGTCCGAACAAGCAAAATGTACATTGATCCTAAAATTTTCTGTTGGATTTACTGGTATTTCATCTGATCCTGGAACGACACTGAGCGTATCAAATGCCGCCCAACAAAGTACTTTTGTTTGAGAAATTTGTTCAGTATTTGATTTTCTTTACATAATTTTATTATCCAATAGGTATTTTCAGATACAGATTGTAAGGACTTGATTCCCGATGGCGGATTTCATTCATCAACTCCAAGCCTCTTCCAAATCTTTCCGTCTCATTACTAAGTTCGATTTTGTGCAGGTGATATCTGACCAGCTCTTAGTTGGCACCTGTTCAGTTTAAAAAAGGCTTTTCGCCTCTTTGCAGTTTGTCTTTGGGATCTTGTATAAAGATTCTGAGGGGACTGAGACTGAGAGACAGTATAAGGCCTCTTTGGTCCAGCAATTCGTCTTAGTTGGTACTGGTTGTTAGACCAGTTCCTGATCTCGGTTTTCACCAGGCAGGAGGCAACCTCAAGTAGTGCAGGTTCCGGCACAATAAAGGCAGTATACCTTCATGCGCAGGCTGGTTGGCCTCGTTGTTGCCTTTTAAGCCCGTGTGACCCGGGACCCAAACAAGGGTGACCTTGTTAAGCCCACTGAGTAGTTCTAGGGTTGTCATACAGCATACAGTCACGCGTGAGCCTTGAGTTGACCTTGGAAAGGGTTCGGAGTGCTGCCTGACTGTTGCTGCATATATAAATATGCTTGTCTGAGAGTCAGTAACCTCTCTGGACATTCTTCTAAGCACACACCTGTATGGCGTAGATCTCAGAGTGTACCTATACCAATGGACACTCGCCTATTTAAATATGTAAGTATAGTCGGCAAATATAAATTTGCCGACGGAAAGAATGCGGATAAAAAAATGACAGGTGCGTCAAATCCTGCCCTTAGTACATCAATTGTCATCAATAAGGCGATTGGCTGCAGATGATGGTAATCCATTATGGCTACCTTCATAAAAACAAGTTTAACAAGGGCTGCGTCGTTCGAGAACCTGGTTGTTGGTGTTGAAATTATTTCAGGAAGTGGTGTAAATCTAGCTCTAGGTTTTCGAACAGTGGCCGAAAGGTTCAGTTTTTGGGATTATCTCGATTCCTATTGCTCCAACGATATAAACACCTATTACCAAAGTTGGAGATAATAAAATTCCTCACCACTTTTGTTCATGAAATGAACCGTTGTTGAGATAGAGCGCGAAGAGTAGGATAAGCCCTATGCTCCAGATTTTAACCTATAAATAAAAGAGATCTAACGGTGAATTTTTGCGTAAACGTTGTTATTATGGGTCTAAATAATTGGTGAAAGTTTCCCATCGATTCGGTGATTATTTGGGCCGTTACGAAGGGTCAAAGGTCAGGAATGCATTTATCAATATCTCGAAAACGATCAACTTTTTTAAAAATTTCATGAGAAAGTTAAAGATCATTAAATTTTCACCAAATTTAGTCTGAGGTATATTGCTCTACAGTAAGCCCTTCTTGAGATACAGCGCAAAATTTAAACAAAGAGGCGGGGTCATTCTCGAAGTAGGGGAAACAAGCTGTAGACTCGTACACACCTTCATTTGGCCACTCTCAAAGTTG